CAGTGTCATACCAATGAAACTATGAAAAATTATTTTAAAAGAGCTAGAAAAAATAATAATAAAATTCATCTGGAAGAACAAAAAGTCAAGAATGTCAAGGGAATTAATAAACACACACACACACACACACACACACACACAGAGGAAAGTCACCAAGCCTTACCAGATCTAAAACTATATAAAGTGACAATCATCAAAACTATTTGGTATTGGCTAAGAAATAGAATGGTAGATAAGTAGAATAGATTAGGTCTACAAGACACAATAGTAAATGACTGTAGTAATCTACTGTCTGATAAATCTAAAGATTCTAGCTTCTGGGATAAGAACTCACTATTTGACAAAAACTGCTGGCAAAACTGGAAAATAATATGGCAGAAAATAGGTATAGACCAACATCTCACACCATATACCAAAATAAAGTCAAAATGGGTTCATGATTTAGATATAAAGGCTGATACCATAAGCAAATTAGGAGAGCAAGGAATAGCTTACCTGTCAGATCTATAGAGAAGGGAAGAATTTATGATCAAACAAGAGGTGGAGAGCATTATGATATGCAAAATGGATAATTTTGATTACACTAAATTAAAAAGGTTTTACATAAACAAAAGCAGTGCAGCCAAGATTAGAAGGAAAGCAAAAAGCTGAGAAACAAGTTTTATACCAAATGTTCTGATAAAGGCCTTATTTCCCAAATATTTAGAGAACTAAGTCAAATTTATAAAACTACAAGTCATTTCTCAATTGATAAATTGTCAAAATATATGATTGGGAAGTTTTCAGATGAAGAAATGAAAGCTATCCCTATAGTCATATGAAAAAAAAATGCTCTGAATCACTATTGATTAGAGAAATGCAAATTAAAACAACTCTGAGGTAGCACCTCACACCTATCAGATTGGCTAATATGACAGAAAAGGAAAATGGTAAATATTGGAAATGTGGGAAGATTGGGACACTGATACATTGTGGAGTTGTGAACTGATCCAACCATTCTGGAGAACAATTTGGAACTATGACCGAAGGGCAATCAAATTCTGCATACCCTTTGAATCCAGCAATGGACTGTCTCCCAAAGAGATCATTAAGAAGGGAAAAGGACCTACATGTACATTAATATTTAAAGCAGCTCTTTTTGCAGTGGCAAAGACTTGGAAATTGAATGGATGCCTATCGATTGGGGAATGGCTTATCAAATTGTGGTATATGAATATAGTGGAATACTATTGTGCTTTAAGAAATGATGAGCAGGCGATTCTCACAAAAACCTGGAAAGACTTATATGAACTGATGCTGAGTGAAGTGAGAAGAACCAGGAGAACGTTGTACATGGTAGCAGCAACACTGTATGATGATCAATTATGATTGACTTAGCTCTTCTCAGAAATACAATGACCCAAGACCATTCCAAAAGTCTTCTGATTGAAAATGCTGTCCACATCCAGAGAAAGAACTGATGGAGAATGAATGCCGGTCAAAGCATACAATTTTACTTTCTTTTTTTTTTCTGTGTTTTTTTCCTTTTGTTCTTTTTCTTCTTTCATAGCATGACCAATGTGGAAATATATTTAACATGACTGCACATGTATAAACATATACAGATTGCTTGCTGTCTTTGAGAGGTGTAAGAGAAGGGCAGGAGAAAAATTTGGAACTCAAAATCTTATTAAAAAATGAAAGTTGAGAACTATCTTTATGTGTAGTTGGAAAAAAAATGCTATTTATGTAAAAAAGGAGAAATTATTTACTACAGGGGAAAAAAAGAGACTTTAGAACACAGAATGTTACTGCTGGAAGGGACCTTAGAGATAGGCTAGTCCATCACCTTCATTTTATAGAGGAGAAAATTGAGATCCAGAGGGATTGTTGGTTGCATAGTAAATTCTTTTTTATTTTTTATTTTTTTAATATTAATTTGTTTATTTTTAGTTTTCAACATTCACTTCCACAAGTTTTTGAGTTCCAAATTTTCACCCCATCTCCCCCCTCCCCCACCCCAAGATGGCATGCATTCTGAATATCCTTCCTAGTCTGTCCTCTCTTCTATCTCTCCCCTTCTCTTATCCCCTTCCCCTTCTATTTTCCTGTAGGGCAGGATACTTCTGTACCCATTTCCTGTATTTCTTATTTCCCAGTAGCATGTGAAAACATTTTTTTAAAACATATGTTTTTAAAACTTTAGGTTTCAAATTTTCTGTTTTCCTCCCTCCCCACCCACCCTCATTGAAAAGGCAAGCAACTCAATATAGGTTGTACATGTGCAGTTATGCAAAACACATCCATAGTAGACATGTTGTGAAAAACTAACTCTATTTCCCTTAATCCTATCCTGCCCTCCCATTTATTCTATTCTTTCTTTTCACCCTGTCCCTCCTCAGAAGTATTTACTTCTGATTACCCCTTTCCCAATCTGCCCTCCTCTCTATCATCCCCTGTCTCTTGTCCCCTTCTCCCCCTATTTTCCTGTAGGGTAAGACAGATTTCCATACCCAATTGAATGTGTATGTTATTCCCTCCTTAAGCCAAATCCTATGAGAATAAGATTCACTCATTCCCTCTCACCTTCCCCTGTTCCCCTCCACTGTAAGAGACTTTTCTTTTCTGTTTTTTTTGTGAGATAATTTACCCCATTCTACCTCTCCCTTTCTTCTTCTCTGAGTATAATCCTCTCTCATCCCTTTATTTTATTCTCCAGATATGACCCCTTAATCTTCAACTCACCCTGTGCCCTCTATCTATCTATCTATCTATCTATCTATCTATCTATCTATCTATCTATCTATCTATCTACATATACATACATATAATTTTTTCCTCCAACTACCCTAATACTGACAAAGGTCTCATGAGTTATAAATATCATTTCCATGCAGGAATGTAAACAGTTCAATCTTAATAAGTCTCTTATGATTTCTCTTTCCTGTTTACCTCTTCATGTTCCACTTGAGTCCTGTATTTGAAAGTCAAATTTTCTATTCAGCTCTGGTCTTTTCATCAAGAATGCTTGAAAGTCCTCTATTTCACTGAATGACCATTTTTTCCCCTGAAGGATTATACTCAGTTTTGCTGGGTAGGTGATTCTTGGTTGTAATCCTATCTCCTTTGCCCTCCGGAATATTATATTCCATGCCCTGCGTCCTTTAATGTAGAAGCTGCTAAATCTTGTGTTATCCTGATTGTGTTTCCACAGTACTTGAATTGTTTCCTTCTGGCAGCTTGTAATATTTTCTCCTTGACCTGGGAACTCTGGAATTTGGCTATAATATTCCTAGGAGTTTTCCTTTGGGGATCTCTTTCAGGAGGAGATCTGTGGATTCTTTCAATTTCTATTTTGCCCTCTGGTTCTACTATATCAGGGCAGTTTTCCTTGATAATTTCTTGAAAGATGATGTCTAGGTCTTTTTTTGATCATGGCTTTCAGATAGTCCAATAATTTTTAAATTCTCTCTCCTGGATCTATTTTCCAGGTCAGTTGTTTTTCCAATGAGATATTTCACATTGTTTTCTAATTTTTCATTCTTTTGGATTTGTTTTACTGTGTCTTGATTTCTCATAAAGTCACTAGCTTCCAATTGCTCTATTCTAATTTTTAAGGAAGTATTTTCTTCAGTAATCTTTTGGACTTCCTTTTCCATTTGGCCAATTTTTCTTTTTAGGGCATTTTTCTCCTCATTGGCTTTTTGGACCTCTTTTGCCATTTGGGTTAGGCTATTTTTTAAGGTGTTATTTTCTTCAGTATTTTTTTGGGTCTCCTTTAGCAAGCTGTTGACTTCTTTTTCATGATTTTCTTGCATCACTCTCATTTCTCTTCCCAGTTTTTCCTCTACTTCCCTTACTTGCTTCTCAAATCCCTTTTGAGCTCTTCCAAGGCCTGGGACTGATTCATATTTTTCTTGGAGGTTTTGGATATAGGAGCTTTGACTTTGTTGTCTTCTTCTGGTTATATATTTTCATCTTCTTTTTCACCAAAGTAAGATAATATAGCCTGACTCTTTTTGCCCCTACTTGCTCATGATCCTGGCCAATTACTTGAGTTTTAAACTCTTTGTTAAGGTATGAATCTGCTTCCAATGTGGAGAATGTACTGTCCCAAGCTTCGAGGGGTTTGTACAGCTGTTTTCAGAGATACTTGTAGGGCTCTGTAAATTTTCAGTTCTTCCAAGGTGGTATGATAAGGGGTGAGGTGTTTACTCCTTTCCTGGCCTGCGACTACAAGTACTCCTTTCTGTCCTGTAACTGTGAGGAGGGGTTCCACAGCCACTACAAGCTCCACCACACCAGCGCTCCTCCTCATCCCAGCACCACTGCCCAGAACTGTGGCCCAGATCCAAACACGGGCCTCAGCGCTGGCAGAGAGATCCCTGCAATCCCTCTCTGGTCAGCCACTGGATTCCCTCTCAGTCTGTGGGCTGGAAGCTCGGGAAGCAGCTGCCTCCTCCCCCCCCCCCAGGGCCACGCTCTTGGGGAATGGAGCTGAGACCTTGCCTTCCTTTCTCAGAACCAACAGAAACAGATTTTTCCCACTGACCTTCTAAGTTGTCTTTGGTATTGGTGGGTTAAGGAGTCTGGAAACCTCCACAGCTGCCTGAGATTCACTCCTCTGAGGCCTGCTCCAGGTTCACTGCAGCCTGCCCGCCAACGCCAAGCTAAGCTGTGCTCCCAGCCTGGCGCGATACACCTTTCTGATCAATCATCCAGGCTGTCTTGGGCTGGACATTTGTTTCACTCTGTCTTTTTGTGGGTTCTGATGCTTCAGAATTTGTTTACATCCATTTTTTATGAGTATTTGCAGGGGTTTGGAGGAGAGCTCAAGCAAGTCACTACTTTCACTCCGCCGTCTTGGCTCCCCACATAATAAATTCTTAATAAATGCATTTTCCTTCATTAATGTATTCATTCATTCACCAGAGGTCACCTAGCCAGTCAGAGGAAGAGCTGGGACTAGAACCCTGGAATCTGAGTTTGCAGTTGTAGAACGTGCCTCTTTCTATTTGCAGCATTTCAACTTTCCTTGGGAAAACGGATGTCTCTCAAGAAATTGAAGAGGCCCTTGCTGCAAATCAGGTTCAGAGAAACATTCGCTTAGTCTCGGTCTGCGAACTTCTGACAAGGCGTTCTGCTCGCTGGCAGATAATTACAGTGATTATCACCATGGCCTGCTACCAGCTCTGCGGGCTTAATGCAGTAAGTACTGACTTTCTGTTTGCCCCTGGCCACCATTTCTTGATAATAGGTATTTCAGAGGGGGAAGGATTGTAGCTTTATCCTGGAAAGTATTTAAATATCATGTTATTCAGCGCAGGAGTTATGCAGGGGTACATCAGAGAGAGAGAGAGAGAGAGAGATTCACTCCGGTGAGCTAAATGGACTGTGGCAGAGCTATACGCCTTCTGTGCCCTCCCAACATTTGACCTCCAAAAGCCTGTGTAGGAAGGAGCAGAGGAGTTGATTCACTGGTTATTATCTCTCATCCTGTGGCATCAGCCAAAGGAGGAAGGGAAGGTGGAACCCATTTGAAGGTTGCTGATGGGAACAGCTGGATTCTCTGGGGTGGAAGGTGAGCCAGCTAAGCAGGTGTATCTGGAACAGCACACATGACATTTTAGGAGTTAGACTCTTGCATTGCTCTCTGCTATTTTTTGTTTGTTTACATCTGACAAAACAGTTTTATGTTAGGCAGGGTTGTATAGGGGAAAGAACATAGAATGTAGTCCTAGCTCTGGCACCATGTCACCCCTGGGCAGCTCACCCTACCTCTTTGACGGTCTGTTTTCTTATCTATAAAATGGGCTTAATATTATTTGGGCCAAGAATTCCAAAGTGCTTTAAGGAAAGCACCTTGTTAAGCCATCAAGAACTATTGAAATGTGAACTAATGTTGTGGTGATGATAATGAAAAAATAATAGCTGGTATTTATATAGCACATTAAGGTTTGCAAAGCACTTTCCATACATTAATCTCATTTGACCCTCAAAACAGCACTGGGGGGCAGGTGCTATTATTATCCTCATTTTACAGATTAGGAAGCTGAGGCTGAGAGACATTAAGTCATTTCCCCATAGTTGGAGGAAAAGGGTTTCAGTGCTGCTCCTTCCTATAAAGTTTATTGCCTACGTGGTCTTGAGCAATTCACTTCACTAACTAGGGCCTCAATGATTGTGTAAAATGAGGGGGTTTGACAAGATGTCTCCTGTGGTCCTTTCAAAGGCTAGACCAGGGATACTTAACTTTGAGCCCATCAACTTGTTTAAGTATTTTGACAATTGTATCTCAACGGTTTACTTTGCAATCCTCTGCATTTTATTTTGTATGTTTAAGAACATTATTCTAACACTGGATCCTTGGGCTTCACCCAACTTCCAAAGGAGTGCAGGGCATAAAAAAGTCCAGCAGTCTTTCTCTAGAACTGTGACCTTATTCTTTCCATTCCTCAAGATCTCTCAATCTTGGTCCATCTTACAGATCTCCCAGTCTCTTGGTCTTTCTCTCTCGATGCTGCTCTGTGTTTCTATCCCTCTATTCATTAAGTGTTTACTGTGTGCCACTCACTGCAACATGCTGGGAAATCAAATATAAGCAGCAAGAAAGACAGCCTCTGCTCTCAAAGAGTTTATATTCCAACTGGGGGCCAGGAGGACAGATAAAAGGATGTTGAAAAGGAGAGGGAGGGCAGAAGACCAGAGAGGCAGAGACAGTCCAGTGCAGGGAGAGGAATGAAAACAAGTTAAATGGAGGTTCTGGGAGGTGCCATCCGGGATGATCAGTGTGTGTTCAGAACAGCATGCCAAGCTCTGGAGGAGAAAGTTTGGAGTTTCATGTCGCTGGGGATTGTGTAGTCTGTCTAATAGTGTGATAAGACACACGTACAGCTAAAATTATTATTTCATGATTGGTGCATCCTTGAAATACCCAGCTAAGTGGATGTGAAAGGGGGAGGGTAAAGTTGTGCCTGCCTCAGATAATCAGGGCAGGCTTCATAAGGAAGGGGGCATTTGAGTTGGGCTTTTAACAATGCCTAAGAATGAAAGAGGTTAAGAAAGGGAGGGATGCTACTCAAGGCAGAGGCAACAGCCTGAGAAAGTACGGAAATGTGTTAATGAGAGCATGGAAACTTCAAGTCCCTAAACTTCTCAGAACCTCAGTTTCCTTGTCTGGAAAATGGAAATTATAACACTTGGCCTCCATCATCATAGGGCTCTTACAAGCATCTAATATTGTTTAGTTGTTTCTCAGTAGCATCCGAGTCTTCGTGACCCCTTTTTTGGGTTTTCTTGGTGAAGATACTGGAGTGGTCCACCATTCTCTTCTCCAGCTCACTTTATAGATGAGGAAATGGAGGCAAACATGGTTAAGGGACACAGCTAGCAAGTGTCCGAGGCCAGATTTGAACTCAGGTCTTCCTAACTCCAGGGCCAGCGCTCTATCCACTGTGCCACCTAGCTGCCCCTATGAGCATATAATTAAATAAGGCAAATGAAAGCTCTTTCTTACCATCCTGTGCAGCTAAATGAGGGTAACCATGAAATGCACTTAAGTGGGAACTGGGTTTTTCTGATGATACAATGCATTTATTTACTTGTTGAATCAGCTTTTTCAAAGTACTTTTATACCTATCATCTGACTTTAACCTTAGAACAGGCCTGCACAACCTGCGGCCTGTGGGTAAGTGTCATGCCAAAGGGTTTCCTGGGGCTGCAAAAATTGTAGAGGAAAACGGTCTTTGTATGGAGAAGTGGCCGGCGGGCTTTAAAGAATATTCCTATGTTGACATTTGGGAAAGTGTCATTAGAGAAGGAAGGGGGGGGTAAAAAGTGCCTACTATGTGCTAGGCATTGTGCTATGCACATTATAAATATTATTTAATTTAATCCTCACAACCTTAGAAGGTAGGTAGGTAGGTGTTATTATTAGACTCATTTTATAGCTGAAGAAACTAAGACAGAAGTAAAGTGATTTGCCCAGGGTAACAAGCCTGGGTTTTAATTCAGGTCTTCCTGGGCCCAGAACTCTTATCAATGGCACCACAAGCTGCCTCCAAGGCCTAGATGGGTTGTGTTATGTATCACTTGAGAAAATACCCGCATCGTAGAAATGGCAGATCCATTGAAGTCAATTAACTTCATTTTCTAGACCAAGGGATTAAAGACCCAGGAAGCATAAGCATCAAGAGCACAAATCCAGTTAGTTCTAGACCCAGAATTAGAATCCAGATAACCTGAGCCTCGGTCCGGTGCTCTTTTGACTATACCATGTTGCCTTCAAGTCCTTTTGATTTTAAATTTATTTAAGATGGACAACCATCCTACAACAGGAAGAAACCTGAGTTAAAACTATCTTCCTATGAAAGAAAAATTAGATTTGCATGGCATGACGGATAGAGAGCTTGCCTTGGAGCTAGGAAGTCCTGAAGTTGAAGTCTCACCTCTGACATGTCAATTGGCCGTGTGACTCTGGGTCAGTCACTTAATCTCTCAGTGCTCTGTGTAATTCTCTAGGTTGGAGAGAAAGTGCCAACCAATATTGGTGGAGAGTTTCCTTACTGGGAATTTCCTATACCGATGAAATCATGGGTCCTGTCCCTCTCTGCTTGTTCCCAGAGAAAAACTGTAGGAACAATGAGTGGAATTGTGGATGGAATGAAGTATTCCCTTTCCCTGGGGGAGTCTTCAAGCACAGCCTAGGCATTATAGAGGGGGTAGTGTCGAATTTCCTGGTTCCTCGAGATTTTAAAGCCCTTTGATCTGGAGCCCTGAGTTCACTTCAAACGATGGATTCTACGTCAATCAGCAAGCACTTGAGTGTTTTCCTAAGTGCCAGTTACTAAGCACTGGGGACACAAAGGAAGGCAAAAAGAGTCCTGCCTTCAGGGAGCTCCCATTCTAATGGAGGAGACAATGTATCTATACCTAGTATGTACGTAGTTTTATATATATATATGTGTGTGTATATATATATATATATGTATATATAATGTATATATGTATGTATATATGTACATATATGTAATCTATTACATATATAATCTAGATTATAGGTTAGAGATATATTGTATATGACATAATATACACTAGATCACAATATATGACATACTTATAATCAATCACACATACTAATATATAAAACTAAGGGGACAATACATAACCAAATACATACAAGATATCTATATCTAATGTGTACTTAGTTTTATAGATATATAAACATGTTATATATATCATATAATATGTTACATATGATATAATGTATGTGACATAATTATAATATATATGAAAGTAAGGAGACAACATGTAAGTACCTAATATATACAAGATAGATATGTATATCACTAAGTACCAAGAAGATATATCTATGCCTTTGTCTCTGTGTACATCTTGTATGTGTGGTTACTGAGATGGTTTCTTTCTCTATACACGTATATGAGGGACCCGCTAATGAAGGCCTGGTCCTGAGATCATATGTGAGCCTGGGAGCTCATGGTGAGGCTGCCTTTCGGACTGGGTCCTCACTGGACAGTCCCCTCGTTATACAGAGTAGATGAAGGGGGGGAGACCTGAGAGGGGGAAACCACTAGAAGTTGAGTGGACCAGGAAAGCCATCCTGCTGAAGAGGAGACTTGAGTTGAGGCTAGAAGAAAGCCTGAGAAACCAAGAGTCAGAGTTGAAGGGGCCAAGCATTCTAAGCATGAGAACCGCTATGGCAAAGGCACAGAAATTGGATTGTGCTCCTTCGGGGGAGGGAGAGTCTTTTGCCTCTTTCTTACCCCCAGCCTTTAGCACAGTGCCTGGCATATAGTATGTGCTTGATAAATGTTTGTTGATGGACTGATTAATTGAGAAATGGAAGATGGAGTTCTATGTGTCAGAAACATTGAGTGGGCCAGTGTAGCTAGACTGGAGAGTGTTTTGAGGGTAGTAAAGCCTAAGGAAAGTGGGAAGGCAGGGGCAGATTGTAAAGAACTTTAAATGTCAAATAGAGGCCTTTATTCTTGATCACAGAACCAAAAGGCAACCACTGGAGTTGATGAGGCTGGTAGGATTGGGGGAGGAAAAACATAATCAGGCCTATATTTTAGAAATCACCTTGACCACTGAATAGAGGATGGGGTAGAGTGGGAGAGAATCTGTACAAAATCAAGGAAGCAGGTTAAGCATGGCATGCCCCTTTGTTTTTCTGATAATTTCTGTAT